GAATTGAATTGAGGTTACAAAAGTCCGCATTATTTCAGAAAGAAACATACCAGGACTCAGTGCGATGAATTCAGGTGATGTTGGTTTCGATGCTGACAAATTACTGACTGAGCTACCAGAGAAATAAGTGATTCGCTGTCAGTCTGAGATAGACCCTCCGAACTGGTGTGAATCAGTGATTACTCCGATTGATAAGTAATCCGGTGACAATCATAGGAGAATTCATTTGACTAAAGTGTCATCCAAAATTCCAGGTGGAATGAAGATGCAGGGACTGAACCGTGATGAGAAGGAACAAGACCTGATCAACTGATGTGGCTCTAGGGCAGATAGTGTGTGTATTGATCACACATGGATACTTTGAAAGATTCTCCAGCATAGTAATACCAAATGGAGTCAAATACTTGTCATATTTAGATTTAGTTGTGTTGTCCCCATTCTAGTCAACATCGTCAGCTCACGTTTCAGCATGAAATGAGCTTGTTTAAGGAGGACAGCAAACAGTTTGGTAAGCCTCCACCTGTTGCGTGTCAGAATTTTGAGTAGCTGCGTGAAATCAAACGAGAACGTCGCATCATTGAAATAACATTATGACTGCCCAAATTTCAAATATGAGTGTATGCATCATTTTCAAATAGATTTTCGTGTGTGTGTGAGTGTATGTGTGCTTCATGAAATCTTAACTGTCAAGAGTCAGTGTGTAATATCTGTGCAACTAACGGATCACATATGACGGGGTGTGTAGGCGAAATGCATGAGGCGACTGAAGTGATTAATTATTGCCTCATACGAGTTGCTTATTCTTGAAAGGAATAGATGGCGTGTGAGTCATTAGTGATAATGTTTCGGACTTCGCTGTTGATTTGCAAGATTTCTTAAATGTTGAGCCCAACTTCCTTTGTCGGAAATGATGAAGAGTCATTTTCATTGGGGTAAATATGTGCAGAATGAACACTGTGATTTGTGCACGTCCGTATATAATTTAGATTGTGCTAGATATGATGTAACAAACCTCCACGATTACAGGCATCCTTCTGTTTGTTTGTCAGCTGACAATGGTAAATAAATCTACAGAGTCGATATCATACCACGTGATGAATTGAACAACTTTGCTAGATACTACTTAAGAGTGTTCTCCTGATGTATCACATTCTAGGGTCTTACACCTCAACCCTTCCACACACACAAGCCAGTGTCCTGCATGAAGTGAAGGCATTCAATATGATATGAAAAATCAATACAGGTACAAGGGTTTTATATGTTCATAACAGCTTAGCATTCCTTAGTACATTGTATTACATACCGAGTGCACACCACCATCAATGATCTGTCTTCATCCAGTGATTGCCTGTTCACAGATGGGGGAATATGTTGGTTTATGTGAATTCAGTAGGTAGGCGGGAAGTGAAAGTGATTCGATGACTTCAGTGGCAGGGATTCAGTTAACGATATCAGATTGGAGATGCGAGATCCTGACTGCAGATATTCTCGAAGTGGAATGTGTTACACAGAAAACATACCCATTTATTCAAGCGACAATAACCTCTGACGAATGATCTCTCTTGTGACTTGTTTGAAATAGGTTTCTGTTTGATCAAAGTAGCAGAGATGGGAATAATATATGAACAGAACTGGACCTCACAGTGTTCTCTGATCCATGTTGTCACAGTGATATCTAACAACTGCAACAGATCTATTTTGCAACAAGAATTAGTTCCAGAAATTTCTCAACCATTCACTGTATATACATGCATATAAATTTACAACATAATTTGCCACCTCGTCAAATGGAAAAATTTCCTTATGCTGTAATCATACCTTTGCTACTACTAAAAGCAAAACTTAGATAGATTGGCCCTCAGATGGAACCTGAATAGGTAAAATTCGAAGTTGATATAACGGAAATGATGTGAATATTATTATTATTGTTTCCGTTAGTTCATAGAGGAACACAGAATTTCGGACGAACGTTTCCATCGCGTTCCGTCCTCTGCCAGCGTATTCACCTGGCTCCATGTCTACCTGAATGCTTTCATCTCGTCTTCAAATGACGTCCTCCATATCACCCTTGCACTGACAACAAACTCGCCATTTCCCACTTATGTTACACTCGAGAGAGACAGTCTATCATGTGATGTCACTTGATGGTAGTTTGTTTTCTCAGAGTATTGCCAGCCAATCTACCTCCATTTCTTCCTGAGAGAAGGCAGGTTTTGATGAAGGTCTGTAGTTTGTTTGCTGTTGATGTGAAGAGTAGGAAATAAAATCATTGTGATTAATTATGTAGGTAGCTAAAAGCGAAGTTATAGGATAGAGTAGAAGGCAGACATGCTGTTGATGTCCTATGTTCCACTCAGAAAGGATAAAATGAATACTATTAATATCAAATATAATGTGTAGATGAGTCAGATATGAAAAATAGAATAGGGTTGAACCGAAGGATTCATATTCTTGGACAATTTTTATTTTGCATCCAAAATTAGAAACCAACAAACTTCAGTTTCCACTTCACACATACTAGTGCATTTTGACTTCATTGCAAATTGGATGGTAATATAACTTTTCGATTGATTCTATGAATAACTCCACCAACAGAAAACCCGATTCCATGTGACGTACACTCGTTGTTATCTCAGCTGGATAGTTTACTTGCAAACTCTGCATCGCATCACAACTAGACAGTAGATTCAGAGCATATTTCAATTTCTTGAAGTGAGCTTTGAGATTTCTACACGAGTTTATTAGTCATCTCTCCTGGTGAACTGGGACGTGATTGGTTGGTCTTGTCTGTCTACACACACTTAAGTCTACTGGCGGTATCGGTATTGATTGTTTCCTTGACCTAAAGTTTGACTTTTTGTGGGTGAGATTTTCTTCTTATGGATTGGTGAATTTTATATATTTCAGTGTGTCTGTTATTTGCTGACTCACTGGAATACCAGACGGGCTTCTAAAATTTCTCCAGCATTCTTTGCATTTCCTCTGTCTAATATGTGAACGTTGATTGTCTGAGTCGAATTGATATCCATTGTTGTCTGTATGCAGCGATATGAGGCAGTGGATATCATCGTATCATTTGACGGCTAGATCATGTTCGTGGATGCGAAGACGGAGAGGGCGTCCACTACGGCTACTGTAGTGTTGTTCTCAGTCGCTACAATTTATTTTGCAGATGATGTTGGTTTTATCTTCTTTCGCTGTTCAGTGTTTTGGTTGGTATAGAGCCAGCCGAGTGAAGGAATTTTCTTGGTGTGTGTGCGACATCAAATCCTAAAAGTTTGAAGAGTCTTGCAGTGATTTCTGAGATGTCTTTTATATTTGGTGGGTCAATTTTCTTTGTGCTTTACTCGGGGACCTTCGATTGGTTGGCTGGCTAGCTTCAGGATGGATATCTTTTGATGAAATTCCATGAATGTTCATTTTTGAAAGACATCTATGTGATCTTTTTCTTCAATTCTTCTTTAGACAGAATTGCTGCAATGAGCTCTGGCTCTATTGAGTGATGTTTGTATGCAACGCTATTCTCGCACCATTTATTAGTTTGCTACTGTTGTAATTGAGTATTTGATCTATGTGAGTTTCTAATTTTCCTCTCGTTGTTCGTATGACTAAGAAATCCTAAAATAGGATCTTGTTCTGGAATTTCTCTTCTCTTGTGAATTCGATATCGTTGAATATGTCGTCTGTTAGGTTGTGAGTTTTCTCCAACTCGTTTCTTTTGATTATCACTAATGTAGCATCCACGTAACGTATACAAAAGACTGGTCGGATCTTCGGTAGGCTTACTTTTTCAAGTCTTTGCATTACTGCTTCTGCAATCAGGCCTGATATGAGTGATTCCATGGGTGTTCCTTTAATTTGCCCATATATTTGATCATTGAATTGGAATTATGTTGTCACACATAGGTTAATGCATTCCATTCAACTTATTTGTTGCATTTTTGAGTGCTTTTTGAAGCTGTTCGTCATTGCTGAGCAATTGCTCCATGTTTTCGTTTTCTAGTATCTGGTCAATTGAGGTGTATCATGCTGTGACATTGAAGGATATCATTATTCCTTGGTCATGTATTTGAATGCCCTTGGTTTTCTGTAGAAATTCGATTGGAGATTCGATAGATTGATCGCAGGATTCTGTTAGGTGATTCAATTTACTGTTGAGGTCCGTGAGAAAGATAAAAATAGTTGTAATGGGATGTTTGGTTTGTGTATTTTACGTCTGCCATACAATGGAGATAGAAATGGTCCACTGGATTCTATTCGCCACTGATTTTCTTTTGTGATCTGACCTGTTTTGCTGAGGTTGTTTAGGCTTCGTTGGATGTGGTTGTCTAATGTTTGGATGGGTTTTCTTGTGATCTATTGGTATACATCACCATTCCTGAGTAGCTCTTCAGATTTCTTGGTGTATTGTCTTCTGTCCATGAGAACTGAAGTTCTTTCTTTTGTAAGCATGACAATGTTTCTCCCACGTTGCAGTATCTTGACAGCTGAGTTGTGTGTGTGTGTTGTTTATCCTGTCTAACCACCGATAGGATTGTTAGGAGTATCTCATCTTGTGTTTTCTCTTTCAACTTCCATTACACTTATTGTTATATTAGCAACATTTTCTCTCAGAATTATGAGCATCGTTCTACTATTTATCACCCTGAGAATAATTGTCTGTGTGACATATCCACCATAGAAAAACAGGTACTGGTGAAGTTGTGTATCTCAGGTGAATATTTCTGATATGGTTGTATTCTCTGAACTAGATGGTCAAAATATGAAGGTTTCTTTGCCTTCCGGGACAACATCTTCATCACCTATTTCCATATGAAATGCGTTTCTCGAAATCTTTCTTAGTGTCAACTGTTTCATTGACCTAGAACTTAACTATTTTGTTATGCGATGTGTTCTATAATAGTTGATCTAGGTTGGTCTATAATAATATATCTTTTGTGTGAACATTGGTCAAACTGAACATCGGGTTTCTGTGAAAATGTTTTTAGAATAACACAAATATGAAATGGAATCTAAGTCGTAAGCATAAACCACACAATTATCCATCCCATCTCCCGATGTCTACACAAACGTCTAACGTAAACTTCAAAGAAGAAAGCGCGAATACAAGTCGTACGCATAAACCACACAATTATCCATTCCATCTCCCGATGTCTGAACAAACGTCAGAAGTGAATGCCAAAGAAGAAAGCGCGAATCGAAGTCGTGCGTATAAACCACATAATTATCCATTCCATCACCCGATGTCTGAACAAACGTCAGAAGTGAATGCCAAAGAAGAAAGCGCGAATCGAAGTCGTGCGTATAAACCACATAATTATCCATTCCATCACCCGATGTCTACACAAACGTCTAAAGTAAATGTCCAAGAAGAAAACGAAAATATAAGTCGTATGCATAAACCACACAATTATGCCTCCCATCTCCCGATGGCTACACAAACGCCTAGCGTAAATGTCAACGAAGAAGAAAGTCCAAGTGATTTTCCAATTTCCCATGTTCATTCAAATAGCAATCATATTAATAGAATACAAAATGCAACGGTTATATTTTCAAATAATCAAAATGAAATGAAATGAAAATTCTACGACAACCTGGCTACTGAAGCTGAGGCAGCAGGCAAAAGGGACCTGAGGACACTATATCAGATAACCAAGTCTCTATCCGGGAAGAGATCAACACAAGTGAAACCTATAAAAGACAGCCAAGGGAACCCAATTACCAAAGAAGAAAGACAGATTAAACAATGGGCGGACCACTTCAAAGGACTCTTGAACCGACCACCACCTACAACCCGTCCAGCAATACCAACAACAGCACGTACACAACTGCAAGTTGACACCAATCCTCCAACGAAAACTGAAGTCATGAATGCAATCAAGCTTCTGAAAGCTGGAAAAGCAGCTGGACCAGATGGAATACCCCCTGAAGCACTGAAAGCGGACCCAGAAACGACGGCAGATATGCTGACTCCATTATTGCAAAAGATCTGGAAAGAGGGGAAGGTGCCTACTGACTGGAGGAAAGGTTACCTGGTGAAACTACCAAAGAAGGGCGACCTGGGACTCTGCAAGAACTGGCGAGGAATCATGCTCCTGTCGACGCCAAGTAAAATCCTGAGTCGCATCATCCTGGAGAGAATCAAGGACGCGCTGGATACAGAACTCCGACCAGAACAAGCTGGATTCAGGAAAGGCAAATCATGTTCTGACCAAATTGCAACTCTACGCATTATCATCGAACAAAGCATGGAATGGCAATCAAATCTCTACCTCAACTTCATAGACTTTGAGAAGGCCTTCGACAGCGTTGACCGCGAAGTAATTTGGAAACTACTCGAGTACTACGGCGTACCGCAAATATTCATCAACCTTATTCAACAACTGTACGACAACGGCACATGTCAAGTGATCCACAACGGAAAACTCAGCGAAGCGTTTGGAGTAAACACAGGAGTCAGACAAGGGTGCTTATTATCACCAATGATATTCCTAATTGCGGTGGACTGGATTATGCGTCAGACAGTGGGAAACGAGAAGACAGGGATATCCTGGACCGACGTGAAGAACCTAGAAGACCTGGATTTTGCGGATGATTTATGTTTGATGTCACACAAAATCGAAGACTTACAAGCGAAAACCGACAAACTGGTCGAAGAAGCAGCAAAGACAGGACTCCAGGTGAACATAGACAAGACGGAGGTCATGAAAATAACCAACCAACCAACCAACAACAACAACAACAGCAGCAACATCCAGTGCCAATCACCATCAACGGGAGGGATTTGAAAGAGGTTACTTCTTTCACTTATCTGGGGAGCATTGTCTCAACCACAGGAGGAACGGACGAGGATGTCAAATCGAGAATCGGGAAGGCGAGAAACACATTCATCAACCTGAAGCCAATCTGGAAATCTTCGTCACTCACCATCAACAACAAAATTCGGATTTTCAATACAAACGTGAAGTCAATTTTGCTTTACGGATCAGAAACTTGGCGAGTCACCAAGAATATTTTCAACAGGTTGCAGACCTTTATCAACAACTGTCTTCGCTCCATACTGAAGATTAGATGGCCAGAAAGAATCACAAACAAGAAGCTATGGGAACAAACGAAACAGGAACCAATCGCCCAACAAATATGCAGGAGAAAGTGGAGATGGATTGGACACTCTCTGAGGAGGCCGTTGAGTGACATCGCGCGCCAAGCCCTCGAGTGGAACCCGAAAGGGAAGCGGCGAGTGGGACGTCCAAGGGTGACATGGAGGAGATCGTGTGAGGAGGAGATGAAACAGTATGGAATAACATGGACGCAAGTGAAAAGTACAGCAGAAGACAGAAGCAAGTGGAGACGTGCAGTTGAAGCCCTATGTTCCACTAGGAACCCAAGGGAACAATAATAATAATAATAATACAGTCTTTATGGTTATCATCTGTGATAGTATCAAGTACAGTGGCCACTCTCATTTCTACCACTATTTGTATTGTATTATTTTGTATGTTCATAATAGTACTGAAAGTTAATTATGTCAGAACTGATTCACATTCATCTGATACCAAAAGTAGCTGATACCTTTTCACAGTTGAGCGGAAATTTTTAGTCAGTTCTCCAGAATACCGAAATAACTTATTGAAACTTTTGTTATTTACGCTTACCTCTCTGATAATAATAATAATAATAATAATAATAATAATAATTAATGAACAAAATGAAAAGTACTCATGAAATTCCTGGATTGAAATTTAATAAAATATTCTAAAGATGTAACAGATTATATTAATTTTGGCTTGAATGCATTTGACAAGCCTTCAGAAAATATCAACACACTTTCTGATATTGGTACAAATATGCATGTGCTAAGAGTCTCACGTCTGTGATAATTTTCTTCTTTTCGGATAAACAAGCTTCATGATTTCAAAACAGAGTTAAGCATAAGCAAAGCAAAACAAGGGATTCCTTGAAGTGTCGTTTTTCAAAGAATTCATTTCAATGCTGTACAGTCGCAGACAATATAAATATATATATGTGTGCAACATAAGTGCTGCGGTAGTATGTAACTCCATGTTCATTGGCTAATTAGGTATATCACACACACACACACACACACAGTAAAACAGTATCAATATTCACTGGGTGGCCAAGTTTCGAACACACTTTATCATTATTCATAATAATATCAACTGTTTTAATCACAGAACTTCAAAACTTGCATTTTACAGTTCTCCATATTCCTGCTTATTCTTAGAAGAGCGGTTTTTGGTAGAAATTTCCAGATGTTTAAGTGGACAGGTGGGGAATAATTTCTATCACACGGATTGCCGGTTGATTCGATAAATAAAACTGCTTTTGTGGTCTAATAGCTTGACCATAAGGATGGGAGGTTGTGGGCGCTAGCAATAAGTCTCAGATGAGGATGGAATTGCTGTCCAGTACTCACTACTTTTCAATGGCTCTCTCTCTCTATCAAACTTGAGAGGAATAACAACAATCAGTGAAAGTCAACCTGCCTGAAACGTTATGTGTCCATCTCATCTGTCCTGTTGAACTTTCAGCTATCTATGTAGAAAATCCAGATCTTTGGATATAGAAAATATTTGTTCAATCATTCCAATCTTCATAGTCTTGATTCGACTATGTTAGAGTATGGCTATCTGCATTCATATTTTGTCCGTATTCGTCCGTATTGAAAAAATGCAAAGACCCAATTACCATGAAGAAACCTGATGGGTTCCTACGGTATTCTGTCAAACTTGCGTTAGTGAAATCTGAAATTTACTTTTTTGAAAGCTGTATCTGTAAAATTGAATATCCTAATGTATTCTGGAAAGCGCTTAGGCGTAAACGTATATGTCCAAATTCCAAAACATTAAAGCGCCATACACTTAATCGTATTGATGCAATCAGCTCTCGCGTTGTAGAGCTAAATAGGAACATATCTCCGAGAAGTCACGTTCTGTTTGAACTTTTAACTGATGAACGCCGGCAATTCGAGGAATACGTTTCTTTTGTCATCAAAGATCAGTCGCAGTCTGCTAACCTTAAGCATCTTGACAGTCTCAAGCAGGTAGTAACAGAAAAGAAATTTCCGACTGATCCCAATAAATATGTATTTAATTATTCTTTCGTCACTCTTTCTGAAATTCAACTACAAACCCTATCACTGGGCCTCAAATTCTGTAACAGATTGCACACTAAAGTGCAATTTGAATTTCTTATTAATCAGACCAACGATCTCACACCCACATCACCTGAAGAATTCCAACACTTTAAATCTACAGTTCTTGATCGCTGTCATCAGTTAACTAGTTCAAAACCTAGCTCGAATAGTCTTCTAACTAAAGAGCATATAGATCAACTTAAAGAACTAGAGACGAATGACGATATTATTATATGCCGTCCAGACAAAGGTGGGGGAGTTGTAGTTATGAATCGCCAAGATTATAATGATAAAATCTCTGCGATCCTTTCCGACCAAATGAAATTCGCCAAACTCGATGGTGAAAATAATAAGACACATCTAATTGAAAATCAACTGACTGATGTCTTAAAGAACATGAGGAATAAGTCAGTAATCTCGTCAGAAATATATGAACGCATCCGACCAGTAGGCTCCATGATACCGCGTTTGTATGGACTACCTAAAATTCATAAGACAGGATTACCCCTCCGTCCTATCCTGGATATGGAGGGTTCTCCTTATCACGAAATCGCTCAATGGCTAGCTGAAATACTGGAACCAGTCAGAAGGCAAGTATCTAAGTTTTCCATTGATGATACATTTAAATTTATTGATTGCATTAAAGATTTCAATGTCTCAGACAAAATCCTGTTCTCATTAGATGTGACGTCGCTATTTACCAATGTTCCCCTCATGGAAACTCTGTGCTACTTATGTGATTATATTGATACACATAGTTTAGAGATAGGACTGCCGACTATTTATCTCAAGGAGCTTTTATTGAGATGCACGTTGAATGTTCAGTTCACCTTCAATAATGAGATCTTTGGACAGAGAGACGGCATTGCCATGGCATCACCACTGGGTCCCTTATTGGCTGGTTGTTTCATGGCAAAGCTTTAAAGTTCTCAACTTAGTCAAACCATCGGTCATTTTGACATTTATAAACGATACGTAGACGACACTTTCGTTATCTGCGATAGAAATGTAATTCTTGATGATGTCTTGTTTGCTTTCAACAACTGCTATCCTTCTTTACAATTCACCATAGAAAAGGAGTCCGAACTAAGTATTCCCTTTCTTGATGTGTGCCTTAGCAGACGTAATGACGGATCTCTCAAAAGATCTATCCACCGGAAACGTACTTGGAACGGACAACTAACTAATTTTTACAGTTTGGTGCCTATTTCCAGGAAAAGGAACTTAATTCATTCACTCTGCTCTAGGATAAAGACAGTTTGTAGTTCTGATTCCGTTGGATCGGAACTTGACATTTTAAAAGCCACCCTCGCAGAAAACGGTTACCCTAACCGACTTATTGACAGCAACATGAAAGATAAGCAGTCTTAACTCATCACCGACACAGTTCCAAAGAAAACCTTATTCATGAACTTGGAATTC